TCCTTGACTGTTCATTTTTCAAGGTTAATTTTACAATCATTTTTCCAGCTTCTCCCCAAAGAATCTTTTTGAGGTTTGATTGGATTTGAATTAAAACTATAGATTATTTTAGGGGAGAATTCACATCTAATAATATTGTCTTCCTAGTCAAGAACAAGATATGGTTGTCCATTTATTGAATTTTTCTTTTCTGTTCTAAGTAGACTTTTATAATTTTATTTGTCTAGGTTTTCCATATTGACATTTTTGTTGTTGTTAAAGAAATCTTTTATAAACACTTGCTCTGTGCTAGGCATGGGGCCACATAGTGGCAGACATGATACAGTCTATGACCTTCTGGAACATAGAAACTGGTGGAGGGGAGGACACAAATGGTATTGTTCACTATTTGGTTGTTTCCCTTTTACCACTGTAAATCATGTGAACATCTTATTTATTAAGTTTGTCTGCATTTCAAAATTACTTCTTTAGAATAGATTCTATAAGTGAAGTTGGACCTACAAAATTTGCAGTTTCAACCTAAATGAGAAAACACTGTCTCTAGTTCTCTTCTATAGAGCCTAAACAAATTGTTTCTTAATAAGAACTTCTTTTCAAAATTTCAGATTGTTTTAATTACTTTTTTGTATGTTGATCTTGTATTCTGTGACTTTGCTAAATGAATTTACTGGTTCTAGGAGGTTTGTTTTTTGGGTTTTTTTTTTTTGGTTAGACTCCTTGGGATTTTTATGTATAGACTTTCATGCCATCTGCAAATAGGGACAGTTTAGTTCTTCCTTTCCAATCTGTATGCTTTTTATTTCCTTTCCTTGCCTTATTGTGCTGGCTAGGACTTCAAGTGTTATACTGAATAAGAATGGTGAGAGCAGACATCCTTGCCTTGTTCCCAGTCTTAGGGGGAAAGCATTTAGTCATTTACCATTAAGTATAGTATTAGCTGTAGCTTTTTGTAGATGTACTTTGTCAACTTAATGGAGTTAAGGTAGTTTTCCACTATTCCTTGTTTGCTGAGAGTTTTTATCATGAATAGATACTGAGGTTTGTCAAATGCGTTTTCTGTGTCAGTTGATATGATTCTCTTTTTTCTTTAGCCTGTTGATATGATAGATTACATTGATTTTCTAATATTGAACAAGCCTTGTATCCTGGGAATAAACCCAGCTTGGTCATGGTATATAATTCTTTTTATATATTGTTGGGTTCTCTTTGCTAATATTTTGTTGAGGGATTTTGCATCTGTATTCATGAGAGATATTGGTCTGTGTTGGTTTGTTTGTACTGTCTTTGTTTGGTTTTGGTATAAGGGTATTATTTGCCTCATTAAATGAGTCAGGACGTGTTCCCTCCTTTTTTATTTTCTGGAAGAGATTGTGTAGATTTGGAGTTAATTCTTCCTCAAATGTTTGGTAGAATTCTCCAGTGAAACATCTGGGCCTGGAGATTTCTGGAAGTTTTAAAGTCAATTTCTTTAAGAGATATAGGGCTAGTCAAATTATTTCATATTGAGTGAGCTTTGGTAATATGTGCTTTTCAAATAATTGGTCCATTTCTTCTAAGTTGTTAATTTATGGATATAGAGTTGTTCATAGTATTCCTTTATCATGCTTTTAATGTCTGCAGGGTCTGTCATGATACCCGTTTCATTTCTGATATTGGTAATTTTGTAATTTGTGTTTTTTTCTGTCAGTCTAGCTAGAGGTTTGTCAATTTTATTGATCTTTTCAAAGAACCACTTTTTGTTTCATTGGCTTTTCTGTTTTCTGCTTTCAATTTCATTGATTTCTGCTTTTATCTGTATTATTTCTTCCTTCTGCTTGCCTTGAGCTTATTTTGCTCTTCTTTTTCTAGTTTGTTAAGGTAGAAGCTTAGATTACTGATTTCTACTTGACTTTTAAGTTTTTTTCTGGATATTTAGTATTTTTTTACTGGTAATATGAATGGAATATTTTTCTATTATGTTTGTTAATTGGTTGGTTTTGATCTATAAGAAAGCTGTTGAGTGTTTTTACTTATTTAATGGGACACCTCATTGATAGTCTATTTTTTTTCATAGTTTTAAAATCTATTCTCTTCGGTTTTTCAGGTAAGTAATTATATGTTAGTGGTCCTATTTTAATTTTCTTGTCGAATTATACTTTGGGGAATATAAACTTTGTACAAGCATGAAAAATTAGGAGGTCATATAAGAAAATTGGGGAGATGTAGATACTTTAAAAAAATGACCTCATTTTAGTCATATATCAGCTGTTTAATGAAGCAAAGATTGCAGCAAGTTGTGATGGATGGTAGGAGGGATGTCCATTTTATCTGAATTTTCAGTCTGATGCCCCAAAGTTACAAGGGTTGCATAAGGAAGCAAAGGTAGTCTTAAACATAAAGATAATCACTGATGAACCATCTATTTATAAAATTAGTCCTCATTCAAATATCTTTCCCAACTTAACACTATCCTTCCTCTTCTTTGCGTCAATATTTTTGTTGATGTCTCTTAATGATTATTAACACAATACAAATAAAATACAAACTGAAAGTCTTACAAAAGATGCAAGATTTCCAGAAGCCCATGAAATTAACATCGGATACTGATTAGGTCACATACAAAGCCACTGGCAAATAAAAAATGAACAGAGAGCTAGACCTATTGACAACTGAAGAAAAACTGAGAGCAGTAACACAACAAAGTGCTTCAAAAGAAAATGATTTGAATATTAAATAATTAAGAATAGATAACTAATAACAACCTGCTGTATAGCACAGGGATCTCGACTCAATACTCTGTAATGGCTTACATGGGAAAAGAATCTAAAAAAAAAAAAAAAGTAGGTATATGTATAAGTGATTCACTTTGCTGTACACCTGAAACTAACACAACATTGTAAATCAACTATACTCCAAAAAAATTTAAAAAAAAGAAAAAAAATAAAATTATTATACAGTAAAAAAAAAAAAGAATTAAGAGAGGGACTTGAGAAACTTGATGAAGTCCTCATATATTTTTGCAATCATTATCTGTATGATCATTCTGCAATAGTCAAGTCGAATTCTCTTACCATTTTGTTGTAAAAATTACACTTGTTTCATTCTTTGTTCTAAGAATTAGCATATTAAAACTTTAACCTAAATTTTGTTAACTATAAGCTTATATAAACTTATTTTTGTATTTTAATTTCATTTTAAAGATCCAGTCAATCCTTTTCCTCCACTACATACCATGAAGTTTTGATTCTTATTTTAAATATGTTGCTTTAAGTGGCTATTTTCTGGTACCAATTTTCTTCTGATAATGAGAATTTCTTGCATTTATTCAAAGAAAAGGTTTCAGACCTGTTCTGAAACTCTTCAGGAGAAATCTTTTTTTTTTTTAAAAAATTTATTTATTTATTTAGGCTGCAGCAGGTCCTAGTTGTGGCATGCGGGATCTTTTGTTTTTAGTTGCAGCATGCAGACTCCTAGTTGTGGCATGTGGACTCTTAGTTGTGGCATGCATGTGGGATCTAGTTGCCCAACCAGGGATCGAACCTGGGCCCCCTGCATTGGGAGCATGGAGTCTTACCAGGGAAGTCCCAGGAGAAATCCTTTTTGAATTGTTAACTGTGGTTACCTTAATTGAAATTGGATCAGGGGACTTTCATTTCTTTATATTCACAGAGCTTTATATCCATGTCTAAATCTATCAATATCTGTCTTTCTGTCTGTCTGTGTCTATCTGTCTATCCATTGCCTAGGACAGTGCCTGGCATTTAATAGGTGTTCAATAAATATTTGTTGAATGAATGAGAACTAAACAGAGAAAATCCCATTCTTGTCTTGAGAGAATTTGTAATCTAATGGCAGAGATATGACCAATACAGACAAAAGATCAGGAATTTATAATCTGATGGCAGAGACAGGACCAAGACAAACAAAAGATAGGACCAATACAGACAAAAGACAGATGGAGAGGAAAAGTTCATTTAAGTTAAGCTTAGTAGTAAGTTTTAATTTGAAGGGTTTTAATGTGATTCAGGGAGAATTGAGTCATAAATTTTGGAGAAGAGAATTATTATCATGTGAGAAGAAGATATTTTGGCTACTTTTGGAGGACTGCATTGTGGAAGGGTAAGATTATTCATCTTGTCGTGAGACAGATCCTAAATCACATCTTTGACTATGGATATATATAGAAAGAAACAGAGCTGTCTGAGGGCATGATTGGCTTTTAAAATTTTTTGGTGGAAATGCCTTCCAAATATGGGATTCTGAGGTTCTCTGTAACCATGGACATGTTGTGTTTGCTAAAGAGATATATTTTCTTCTATTTTTCTCAAAAAAATCTCCTTAAAATATCAAACTTTACCTATGAAAGCAGAAAACAGAATATAACGCCATTTATTTTCATTACACATGATGGACATTTAAATTTTTAAAGTAGTCCAGTGGAACTATGTACATACAAATTCCATTAGCCAATAATGTCTTTTGCCTCCTTCATTCCCACTCAGGTTACAATTCACACTTTCATATGAGAGTATTAATGTCAGGCATAGCAATTATATTACAGGAAAAATAATTTGTTATTTTGTAAAGAACATCTTGTATAATATTGGAAACTAAGCACAATATTCTCTTAATATTTGGTTCCCAGAATGGATAGACTCAGATAATAGTTATTATTGTCATTAGTTAATTGTTAACTACATACCTCTTAAAAATTTTTGGAAGGGCAGTGAGATTGAGTGTATTTTGCATTATTGATTTCGTCTTTTTAGGAAATAACAGATTTAACCTGTTATAATGTTTTGAGATTTTGTATATTTTATATTAGAAAAAAATCTTCCTTGGGACACTGCAGTGAGTCTAACAGTTATGGTACAAGATTTGCTTATAGTCAGTCTTACTTAATTTATACCTAGACCAGTGTCTCATATTATGTATTATCAATAGAGAAAGCAGTTCATAATTGCAGGATACCAACCTGCAAATGCATATGTATTTGATCGTCTTAAAATTCATTTCCCTAGGAAACATAACCTTTGAAACAATGATGGAAATTCTCCGAGATAAACCAAGTGGCATTAATATGGAGGGAGAATTCCTGACCACTGCAAGCATGGTTTCTATTTTACCTCAAGACTCCAACGTTCCTTGCATCCACTTCCTTACAGGGACTCCTGATCCTGAGAGGTAAAGTCACAAAATACTATAAACCAGGCAGGGGGTCAGGGGTAGGGTAGAGTCATTAGTTTGGTGATGATTTTGTCAGGCTAAATTTTTGTTGCACAAATACTACAATAATTTTTGAATGCATTTTCTTTTTTTAAAAAAATTAATTAATTATTGGCTGCGTTGGGTCTTCATTGCTGCACGTGGGCTTTCTCTGGTTGCAGTGAGCGGGGGCTACTCTTCATTGCGGTGCGCGGGCTTCTCATTGCGGTGGCTTCTCTTGTTGCGGAGCTCGGGCTCTAGGCTTCAGTAGTTGCAGCACATGGGCTCAGTAGTGCTGGCTCTAGAACGCGGGATTAGTTACTCCGTGGCATGTGAGATCTTTCCAGACGAGGGCTCGAACCCCTGTATCCTGCATTGGCAGGCGGATTCTTAACCACTGCGCCACCAGAGAAGTCTTTTGAATGCATTTTCTATTCAGGTTTTAGTCTGCCATTTTCCTATGTGTATCATTGCCATAACTATTCTCATTCATATGGGACGAAAATGTTTATAGTTTCTGGTACGCAGTTATTCCTACTCCCTCTTTCCCTAACTATATTTAAAATTGTCAAGAAAAGTAGATTGGGGCTTCCCTGATGGCGCAGTGGTTGAGAGTCCGCCTGCCGATGCAGGGGACGGGGGTTCGTGCCCCGGCCTGGGAAGATCCCACATGCCGCGGAGCGGCTGGGCCCGTGAGCCACGGCCGCTGAGCCTGCGCGTCCGGAGCCTGTGCTCCGCAACGGGGAAAGGCCACAACAGTGAGAGGCCCGCGTACCAAAAAGAAAAAAAAAAGTAGATTGGTTTTCTAATGCAGATTTCAGTATTAAATATTAGATGATGAGTAAGAGTAAAAAGGTTAAATGATCTAGAAAATACATACATGTAAAACAAAATATCAATAGTTCAAGTTATATCTTAAGTAGGATATATACAGACTACCTTGATTTAAATCATTGGTATCTCATAAAACTTAATGCACATTACATTTAGAAGTGATCTTATATTCACTATCTCTTAGTATTATAATCTTTCATATTATTAAAGATATCTTCCAGAAAAAGGAATAAAACTTGTGAATCCCTTATTAATACTGCTGCTTATTTTCATCCCAAATCCTAATGCTCAATCTGTTACATTGAGGATTGTTCTTACCCTCCAACTGTGGAATTTGCAGTAGAAAATGATGAACTATAATTTTACTTGACACTGTTTATATGCCAGGCCCTTTGTTAGGTTCATGGGAATATAAGGCTAAATAAAGTATGATCCCTTGCCCCAAAAGGAGATCCCAGTGTACCAGTGAAGACAGGCATGGGTATAAGTAGTATGACAGGAACAATTAATATGTTATAAATTAGTAGAAATTAAAGGGAATCTTAGAAGATTTAGAATAATGCTGAATATTTTTTTTCCGGCTGAATATTTTTATATCCCCACATACCAAACTTAATACTTTTTCTTCTAGATCTGTTTTTAAGCCTTTCATATTTGTACCAAATATTTCACAACTATTGGACACCAGTTCACCCACATTTGAAGATTCAGTTAAAAAGAAGCCACAGTTTAACATTAAGCCTGACAGAAGACACCTACTCTACCAAAAACATCAACAGGCCTTGGAAATACTAGATAATAAGGAGGTATGGTTAGATTATATCTCTGTTTTATCATTAAGAATAACTTAAAATATGATTCAATCCATATTTTGAACTTTGAAATTTCAGCTTTCTTTCCTTTATATAAAAATAGTTTTAAAAATAGTTTAGATGCTTAGACTATAATAGAGCTATATTATTTTTGAACTTTGGTTTAAAAAAATGGTTAAGAATATATTGCGAATTTAGAGAAATTTAGTATATTAAACATAATAACAATAGCTAACATTTATTGAACACTTATTATACACCAAGCACCATGGTACTGTTACTTGGGATATTTCATTTAATCTTCACAACCACTTTATCAGGTAGTTACTATTTTTTTTTTTTTAATAAATTTATTTATTTTATTTATTTATTTTGGGCTGCGCTGGTTCTCCATTGCTGCGTGCGGGCTTTCTCTAGTTGTGGTGAGCGGGGGCTACTCTTCGTTGCAGTGCGCGGGCTTCTCATTGCAGTGGCTTCTCTTGTTGTGGAGCACGGGCTCCAGGCATGTGGGCTTCAGTAGTCGTGGCACAAGGGCTCAGTAGTTGCAGCTCCCGGGCTCTAGAGGGCAGGCTCAGTAGTTGTGGCGCACGGGCTTAGTTGCTCCGTGGCATGTGGCATCTTTCTGGACCAGGGCTCGAACTCATGTCCCCTGCATTGGCAGGCAGATTCTTAAACACTGTGCCACCAGGGAAGTCCCAGGTAGGTACTGTTATCGTTTCCATTTTACTGATAAGAAATCTGAGACTTGGAGAGTTTAAGTAGCTTTCTTAGTGTATCTCACACCAAAAATTACAAAACCTCTAGAGGGGAGTTAACCTGGTCTCTAAAATAATGTTCTTAATCATATACCCTCAGATTAATTTTAATTGAAAGTGACTTGACACCCCGTAGACTTAAAATAATAATTATTATAATGAGTTGAAGTTTTAATAAAAGATAAATGCTTATTATTTTTAAATGTAAGCATAATAAAAGATTAAACACATCACCCACAATCTCATCTCCAGAAACAAGTAGATATATAATTTGGGGGGACAGATAGATTGATGGGTAGACAAATAATTTTATAATGTTCATACCTCTTCAGCCTTCCTGCCCTCTTCTGTCTCTGCCCCAGAGATTAAAAAAATAGATTAGAAGGAAATGGAAGGGCTACCTAAAGGCCTTTCTCAGAACTCTCAACTCATTCCTTGCAATGAAGGAAAAGATTGGTCATCTTATACCTTTTCTCACCTGCTTCTACCAGCTTCGCTTCTGATTTTTATTGCCTATAATAACTTTTACTTTGTGAAGGTATATACATTTACATTCTTTCTACATTAAATGAATTAGATGAATTTTCCTCCCCGGCAATTATTTACTTATTTCCTTTTTCTGTAGTATGTTTACATAGTTGCCCTTGCTTTTCTCTCCCCCACCCCACCCTGGCCCACCCCCGTGCTTATGCTTAAAGCAGAGAGCTCTGTACAGATCCTCTATTTGCTATAGATTCTTGACACTACTGCTTTTTTCTGAGACCAGTTTGTTTTACTTCTGACCTACAGTGTAAACACCTTTTTGTAGCCTAGTGGCATGGAGTGAGAGGCAAGTGTTTTGTTCTAGGAGCCTATTAAGTGCACTGACTAGGGCCCAGTGCACCGGGCCAGAAGTGTCATTCCCTCCATGGGCTTGGCCCATCCTCCAGACTCAGCACAGTGCTGTGAAAAATGATGAGCCCCTGGTTCTTCTTGCCTTTGCTCAAGTTCTTCAGTGATATGTTTCATGAATGTCTGCTCTGGAGGGATTTCCCCTCCTTCCTGAGCAGCCTCTGCACTGCTCTCATTGCTTATGATAGTTCTCAAGAGTTGTTAGCTCCCTTTCCCCCTTAAATACTGCTTCTGGGAGGTGGGTTTTGTAGACTTATTACTAAATGCCCGTTAAACTAAATTAAATTGCTGATTGACATTTTTCTAAGTAATAATGAAATAAAATTTTAAAGCAGTTACTATTTCAGGCTGTATTTAATAGGTATTAAATGTTGATTGACAACATGAAGTAGTGGAAAGACAATGGGATTTGAAGGAAGAAGTGTCAAAGACCTGGGTTCTAGTCCTGGCTCTGTAAATAACTACTTTTATGTTTTAGGGAGAGTCAGTCCTACTGGTAGTTTAGTTAACATTTCTTGATTACTAATGAGGTTGAAAATTTCATATGTTTATTGGCCTTTGTATTTCCTCTTAAATGACTTGCCTATTATTTTCCTTAGTCTGTTTTTCAATTGATTCTTGGTTGTTTTTGTCTTTTGCCTCAAAGAGGCAAAAATATGTGAATAACTTCGTTGTGTAGCAAATTTTTAATCTCAGTTTGTTTATTTAACTTTTTTTGTCAGACAAAAGTTTAAAATTTAATCAGTTCATTTGTTAGTCTTTTCCTTTAAGGCATCTTGATTTCATGCTTCAAAAGGGCTGCCTCACCTCAAAATAAATATAACTTCTGTTTTTTCTTTCAAATACATATATGCATATTTGAAAAAAAAATTAGCTCTTTATCTGGAATTTATTTTTATGGGTGTTATGAAGTAGGGTTCTAACTTCATTTTCCAAAGAGATGACCAATTATTCTAATACCATTTATTGATAAAATACATTTTTTGCACTGATATGAAGTGCAGTGTTTCTTCAGAAAAAATTGCATACAATTTCATACTGAAGTATAGGTCAAAGTTAAGAATCCTTGTTTTGTGGAGTTCTGCCCCGTTATGGCTCAACTTTTAAAAATTACGCTCACTTTCTAGTAACTCTCTTCTTATACACTTCTTCTGTCAGTACCTACCCTCTAACTGATGATGGTAATTCATTAATAACTTAAAAATTGCTCCTTTCTATAAGAATCATGACCTTTTCCCCCCCTTGTTGATACAAGGAGGAATCATAGAGAAAATGACTTTTCTTTTAGTTGCTCTTTCCCTTGAACGTCACTGTTCTAGTTCCTTTGTTTAATCTGATAATGCTGGTTTTAAATGTAGAAGATCCAAATTCATGAAAATATTTCAGCTTCAGTTTTCAGCAACCTTCCCCATCCACAATTAATATCAACTTTTCAATTGACCTGTTATTTGTCTTGTAAGTTTCTTGCTTATAGACTAATACTACATAATTGTTATTGTATTTTCTACTAAAAATAACTAATAGTTTGTGGTTAATAGAGTAACTGAATCTAGAACAATGATTTTTCCCAAAGAATTTCATTCTTTCTTTATCTAAAGAATAGGAGAAGGGGAACCGAACCAGAAGTTGAAACCAGAATGAACAAACCTTGTCTGTAGAGGTGGTTTGGAATTTTGTTAGACTCGTGTGTGTGCATGTGTGCTCATGCACACACGTGTATCTGTGTATTTATTTATTTTTATTTTTTAATTGTTCAGGAAAAAGCCAAAACAATGTTGGACAACATGAGCAAACTGGAGAAGGAACTATTCAAAGAGATGGAATCAATCCTTCAAAACAAGCATCTTGATGTGGATAAAATTGTTAATCTTTTTCCTCAGTGTACAAAAGATGAAATTAGAATTTATAAGCCAAATATTAGTTCTTAGTGATCGCATAAATGGTCAGCAATCTTCCTCAAAATTAGAATCTGTTACATTGGTAAATAATATAAATTAAGTTTGAGCAGATCTGATTATTCTTTAATAGCATTCAGGTGATAGCTTGGCTATTAAAACTACATGTAGCCTTGATGAAATATTGAGAAAGAAAATAACATTGGAATTGGACACATATATCATGGATAGCTGGGTATCACTTTAAGTACCAACTTGTATTTTTTTTTCTAGCCCCAATACCTTTTTAAAAATCACAGTAATTAAATATCCAATTCTGCATAAAGCATGAAACATTAAAATAATGTATACATTTATTATAATTATATATTGTCCTCAAATAATTTTCTGAGTTACAACAGAAAGCAGATTTTTTTTTAGTAATGGAAAATATTGTCTCAACTAATAAATTTTTTGTGCTTTAGGCAAGTATTAGCCAGCTCTAGCAAAATTTTCTAGATTTACACATTGTCTTATTCCAGTCTTTTAATTATGCAAATGTTTTATTAAACTCAGACATGCTCTTTGTCAAGACTTAGCTGACCAGTGAGCTTTTAGCTCTAATTATCTAGCATTTTTTCGCCCATACCCCTTAACAGACTTTTATGTTAATATTTTTAGAAGAGCTTTCCTGGGAGATTAGGAAATGGAATAAGCCAAGACCTTAGGAGATATTATTTTGGTGTCTCAAATCTCTCTCATCTTTTACTTCTGTTCATTCAGTGAAAACAGGAACAGGAATGAGACAGTGGTGATGAAATAGAAATATTAGCATATTATGAACATTAAGAACGTTATAATATATAATATATTATGAACCTTATATATGAATAATAATACCTGTCCAAAGATTATAAAACTCTGTTAAAGGGCTTCCCTGGTGGCGCAGTAGTTGAGAGTCCGCCTGCCGATGCAAAGGACACGGGTTCGTGCCCCAGTCCGGGAAGATCCCACATACCGCAGAGCGGCTGGGCCCGTGAGTCATGGCCGCTGAGCCTGCGTGTCCGGAGCCTGGGCTCCGCAACGGGAGAGGCCACAGCAGTGAGGGGCCCGCGTACCGCAAAAAACAAAAAATAAACAAAAAAAACTTTGTTAAAGTTACACAGGGATTACCAAGTAAGACTCAAAGTTGGAAATATAAACAAAAGAAAACTCCAACTCAAAATAACACTATGTTTTTATTGGTTTCTAGAAATTTCCATTTTAGGTGTTTGATTGCATTATGATATTTATTGGTCACTATCACTGCACTTAGGATTATTACTAAAATAATGGATCATTATATTTAAAGAGTCCTCAGAAATTATTTTTTAAATTCTCTCATAAAAATCATAATCTGCCTGATGGCTCTTGTCTAATGCAGGGCTGCCATTACAAAAGAACACTGTATCAAATGCTCAGTTAATTCTGGTTTGCCTTACATATAATTCAGTGATAGGTTCTTCCTAAATCATGAAGCCCCTTGGGCAACCCCCAAATGCCCCCCCTCTCTTTTTTAATATGTGAGGAAACTAAGGGTAAGCAGTTCATTGATTTATTTAGGCACAGAAACGTGCCTCTCTCTAGGGCCCGCATGTTTTCACTTTCTCCTTTGACACCATGCTAGACCAAACTAGTACCAGGCTCTCACCTGGACCACTGCAGTTAAGTTCTTCTGCACCCATTTTTGCTCTTTATCTTCATGCACATGGGTCACTGCAGCTAGAGTGATCTATTAAAATTTTAAATATGTTCATGAATTTCCCTCCTAAAACTTTTTTTAAAAAATAGACTTTATTTTTAGAGCAGTTTTACGCTTAAAGCAAAATTGAGAAGAAAGTACAGAGTTCCCATGTACCCCTGTTCCTCTGTCCTCCCCTCCACCATCAACATCCCCCACCAGAGTGGTACATTTGTTATAACTGATGAACCTACACTGACACATCATTATCACCCCAAATCCAGAGTCTACATTAGGTTTCACTCATTATACATTCTATGGGTTTGGATAAATGTATAATGACGTGTATCTACAATTATAGTATCATACAGAACAGTTTTACTGCTCTAAATATCCTTTGTGCTCCACCTATTCATCTCTCCCTTCCCCTAACCCCTGGCAATCATCTTTTTACTGTCTCCACAGTTTTGGCTTTTCCAGAATATTGTATAGGTGGAATCATACAGTACGTAGCCTCCTTTTCAGATTGGCTCTTTAACTTAGTAATATGCATTTAAGTTTCCTCTATGTCTTTTCATGGCTTGATAACTCATTTCTTTTTAGTGATGAATAATATTCCACTGTCTCGTTGCTGATATCCACTACTGAAGGACGTCTGGTTGCTTCTCTGTTTTGGCAATTATGAATAAAGCTGCTATAAATATCCATGTGCAGGTTTTTGTGTAGACATGGTTTGAACTCATTTGGGTAAATACCCAGGAACATGAGTGTTGGATGGTGTGGGAAGAGTATGTTTAGTTTTATAAGAAACTGCCAAACTGTCTTCTAAAGTGACTACCGTACCATTTTGCTTTCCTACCAGCAGTCAATGAGAGTTCCTATTGTTCCACATCCTCGCCAACATTTGTTGTTGTCAGTGTTCTAGATTTGGGCCATTCTAATAGGTATGTAGTAGTATCTCACTGTTTTAATTTGCATTTCCCTAATGACATATGATGCAAAGCACCTCTTAATATGCTTATTTGCCATCTATATTATCTTCTTTGGTGAGGAATCTGTTCAGATCTTCTGCTCATTTTAAAAAATCAAGTTGTTAATTTTCCTATTGTGTCTAAAACTGTAAAGAGTCAATGAGATAAGTCCCAATCCTTAACAACTATCAACAAGATCCTGCCAATCTGCCCCATGTATATCTTATTATGCTTTTTTTTTTGCGGTATGCGGGCCTCTCACTGTTGTGGCCTCTCCCGTTGCGGAGCACAGGCTCCAGACGCGCAGGCTCAGCGGCCATGGCTCATGGGCCCAGCCGCTCCGCGGCATGTGGGATCTTCCTGGACCGGGCACGAACCCCCGTCCCCTGCATCGGCAGGCGGACTCTCAACCACTGCTCCACCAGGGAAGCCCTATGCCTTGTTTTTTTAAAGTTTCTATTCTGCTCTTTCAGTTCCTTGAATGTGCCCAGTTCCTTCATCATGACTGTACCCTCTGCTTGCACCATTCATTTCATGTGCTTTTAATATAAGTAGTTCTTTCCATCCTTTAGAGTTTTGCTGAAACATGACTTCCTCAGGGAAGTTTTCCCCACTCAAGATCAAGCCTCTTGATACATACTCTGAGAGCCACATGTGATCCTGATCACAAGTGTAATTAAATGTTTAACATCTGTCTCTCACAGCAGAAGAAGCTTTATGAGGATAACAACCATATTTTTTCCCACTGTTGTGTGCTTAATGTTCAACATTATGTCTAGCACAAGCTAGATGCTCAATAAAGATTTAAATTAACATTCAAGGACTGATGGAGAGAATTTACACAGTCCTCTTCTCGACTTGTAAAGTTGAGAAAATTAGCTAGACAATCTATCTGTACAACTTGATAGCCTTTTATAAGGCTGAGGTCAACCTGTTCCCTTTTTCCATATTCAAAATAGGAATAATAACTCCCCAGATAAAGATAAGGATTATTATATTTATAAAACAGCCAATTAATTTATAAAACATTTTGGGAGACTTTCACTCTATAAATCCAATATGGTATTGGGCTTTGGCACTTCAGTGAGTAATTAATACCTTGTGGTATATTTTAGAAAATTTAAGGTTTTCTTAAATTTCATGTGTTTCTTAAGAGTAAAAAACATAGTAGCTGGGGGGACCTTCAAGATGGTGGAGGAGTAAGATGTGGAGATCACCTTCCTCCCCACAAATACAGCAGAAATACATCTACATGTGGAACAACTGCTACAGAACACCTACTGAACGCTGGCAGAAGACCTCAGACCTCCCAAAAGGCAAGAAACTACCCATGTACCTGGGTAGGGCAAAAGAAAAAAGAAAAAACAGAGACAAAATGGGGATGGGACCTGCACCTCTGGGAGGGAGCTGTGAAGGAGGAAGTTTCCATACACTAGGAAGCCCCTTCACTGGTGGAGACTGGGGGTGGGGGTGGGGGTGGAAGCTTCGGAGCCACGGAGGAGAGCGCAGCAGCAGGGGTGCAGAGGGCAAAGCGGAGAGATTCCCGCACGAGGATCGGTGCTGACCAGCACTCATGAGCCTGAGAGGCTTGTCTGCTCACCTACCGGGGTGGGTGGGGGCTGGGAGGGGGCTGGGAGCTGATGTTCCAGCTTCGGAGGTCGGATCCCAGGGAGAGGACTGGAGTTGGCTGCGTGAACACAGCCCGAAGAGGGCTAGTGCGCCACAGTTAGCTGGGAGGGAGTCGGGGAAAAAGTCTGGAACTGCCTAAGAGGCAAGAGACCATTGTTTCGGGGTGCGTGAGGAAAGGGGATTCAGAGCACCACCTAAACGAGCTCCAGAGACTGGTGCTAGCCGCGGCTATCAGCGTGGACATCAGAGACGGACATGAAATGCTAAGGCTGCTGCTGCAGCTACCAAGAAGCCTGTGTGCAAGCACAGGTCACTATCCACACTTCCCCTCCTGGGAGCCTGTGAAGCCCGCCACTGCCAGGGTCCCGTGATCCAGGGACAACTTCCCCGGGAGAACAGTGTGCCTCAGGCTGTTGCAACGTCATGCCAGACTCTGCCGCTGCAGGCTCGCCCTGCATTCCATACCCCTCCCTCCCCCTGGCCTTAGTGAGCCAGAGCCCCCTAATCAGCAGCTCCTTTAACCCCGTCCTGTCTGGGTGGGAACAGACGCCCTCAGGTGACCTACATGCAGCGGCGGTGGGGCCAAATCCAAAGCTGAACCCCGGGAGCTGTGCAAACAAAGAAGAGAAAGGGAAATCTCTCCCCGCAGCCTCAGGAGCAGTGGATTAAATCTCCACAATCAACTTGATGTACCCTGCATCTGTGGAATACCTGAATAGACAATGAATCATCCCAAAATTGAGGAGGTGGACTTTGGGAGCAACTGAAGACTTGGGGTTTGCGTTCTGCATCTAATTTATTTCTGGTTTTATGTTTATCTTAGGTTAGTATTTAGACCTTATTATCCCTGGTAGATTTATTGATTTGTTTTACTCTCTTCCTTTTTTAAAAAAATATATATTTTTCCTTTTTCTCTTTTTGTGAGTGTGTATATGTATGCTTTTTTGTGTGATTTTGTTTGTATACCTGTGCTTTTACCATTTGGGCTAGAGTTCTGTCCGTTTTTTTTTTTTTGGTATAGTTTTTAGCACATTTTATCATTAGTGGATTTGTTTTTAGGTTTGGTTGCTCTCTTTCTTTTTTATTACTTTTTAATTTTAATACTTTTTTAATTTTAATAACTAGATTTTTATTTTACTTTTTTCCTTCTTTCTCTCTCTCTCTTTCTTTCTTTTTTCTCCCTTTTCTTCTGAGCCGTGTGGTGACAGGGCTTTGGTGCTCCAGCCAGGTGTCAGGCCTGAGCCTCTGAGTTGGGAGAGAGACCTCCTGGCTCCAAGTAATATCAAATGGCGAAAGCTCTCCCAGAGATCTCCATCTCAACACTAAGACCCAGCTCCACTCAACGACCAGCCAAACAACTAGAAAGACAGGAATACAACCCCACTCATTAGCAGAGAGGCTGCCTAAAACCATAATAAGGTCACAGATACCCCCAAACACACCACCGGACGTGGTCCTGCCCACCAGAAAGACTAGTCCAGCCTCATCCACCACAACACAGGCACCAGTCCCCTCCACCATAGAGCCTACACAACCCACTGAACCAACCTTACCCACTGGGGGCAGACACCAAAAACAATGGGAACTATGAACCTGCAGCCTGCTAAAAGGAGACCCCAAACACAGTAAGTTAAGCAAAATGAGAAGACAGAAGTACACAGCAGATGGAGGAGCAAGGTAAAAACCCACCAGACCAAATGAAGAGAAAATAGGCAGTCTACCTGAAAAAGAATTCAGAGTAATGATAGTAAAGATGATCCAAAATCTTGAAAATAGAATGGAGAAAATATAAGAAACGTTTAACAAGGACCTAGAAGAATTAAGAGCAAACAAACAATGATGAACAACACAATAAATGAAATTAAAAATTCTCTAGAACGGTCTTCCCTGGTGGCACAGTGGTTGGGGGTCCGCCTGCCGATGCAGGGGATGCGGGTTCGTGACCTGGTCTGGCAGGATCCTGCGTGCCATGGAGCGGCTGGGCCTGTGAGCCGTGGCCACTGAGGCTGCGTGTCCGGAGCCTGTGCTCTGCAACAGGAGAGGCCACAGTGGTGAGAGGCCCACGTACCGAAAAAAAAAAAAAATTGTCTAGAAGGAATCAGTAGCAGAATCACTGAGGCAGAATAACGGATAAGTGACCTAGAAGATAAAATAGTGGAAATAGCTCCCACAGAGCACAATAAGGAGAAAAGAATGAAAAGAATTGAGGACAATCTCAGAGACCTCTGGGACAACATTAAATGTACCAACATTCAAATTATAGGGGTCCCAGAAGAAGAAGAGAAAAAGAAAGGGACTGAGAAAATATTTGACGAGATTATAGTTGAAAACTTCCCTAATATTGGGAAGGAAATAGTCAACTCCAGGAAGTGCAGGGAGTCCCATATAGGATAAATCCAAGGAGAAACACGCCAAGACACATATTAAACTATCAAAAATTAAATGCAAAGAAAAAATATTAAAAGCAATAAGGGAAAAGCAACATATAACATACAAGGGAATCCCCATAAGGTTAACAGCTGATGGTTCAGCAGAAACTCTGCAAGCCAGAAGAGAGTGGCAGGACATATTGAAAGTGATGAAAGGGAAAAACCTACAACCAAGATTACTCTGCCTAGCAAGAATGTCATTCAGATTTGACGGAGAAATTAAAACCTTTACAGACAAGCAAAAGCTAAGAGAATTCAGCACCACCAACCAGCTTTACAACAAATGCTAAAGGAACTTCTCTAGGCAGGAAACACAAGAGAAGGAAAAGACCTACAATAACAAAACCAAAACAATTAAGAAAATGGTAATAGGAACATATATATCAATAATTACCTTAAATGTAAATGGATTAAATGCTCCAACCAAAAGCATAGACTGGCTGAATGGATACAAAAACAAGACGTGTAT